TGGATATAGATGATTCCTCTGGCTTGGGTCATCATGACTAACAGAAAAACAGAAAGTTACAATTGTATTTGAATACATTTGCAAAAAGAATTTCCTTCTTTCAACCCCACCTATTTCATATCTGATTATGAAGTGGCTTTAAGAAACTCTATTCGAAAATTTTCTTCCTATAATTGTAACTGTTGCTTGCCGGTTTCAATAAGGTATTTATTTTTAATTCATCTTTTTTTTTTTTATTCCAGCTGTCGAGTAATAATTTATTGATTATAAAATTAATGCCCATGCACTTAAAAATTTCTGAATAAAAAAAAAACTTTCTACTCATTCTTATACAAGTTACTGTTTGTGTTACTGGCAGTATTTGATAATGCCAAAGCACATAAAGTTGCTGATTCAAAAAATAATAAATCTGCCAATCCATGATCACACAAAATGATAAAAGAAACAGTGGCTTTGCCATTACTTTCTCTAAATCTGATACATACAGCTTTTGAAATTATGGTTAAAGAAACAAAAGATCTCTACCCATGTAATGAAAATTTTGAAGATTTTTTATTGTATTTCAAAAAACAGTGGCTTGAAAAATATGGACCAACTAAAATCAGTGTGTTCAATGCTCCAGACCAAACAAATAATATTGTAGGGATGTACCATAAAGATTTACCACTAAAAGTTGATCCTCATGCCCTTATCTGTGACTTTATGCGTAAGTCAGTTTTAATNTAGAAAAATTCTTAAACAAAAAAAAAACAAAAAGAATAATGAACTTTTTCACACGCCGTGCGCGGGGACCTCGATTATGAGCCATCTGTTATAACTCTGAAGACCTCGATTTACACAAGCGACTCACAACTCGTGCTACGCACTCGTGCGAGTGCGTGTGTACGTTGAGATCTTTGCAGAGCCATATTAGATGGCTCATAATCTCGTTTCCCGCGCACAATATGTAGAAAATTTGTAAAATTTGTGATTGACACACGCGGGTTTTCGCACACGAGCGCTAGCGAGTGGTACGCGTGCGTCAATCGCCTTCCTCGCGCACTAGTATCGTAATGTACTATTTCATGTGGAAAATTTCATCTCCTATATTTTCTTACTAGTACCACTGGTTTGATCTGTCTATTAAATAAAATATTACAGTAAAGTGAAGCTTTATTCATGTGTGCATTAAATTTACTTACCAGAAATATCGATCCAAAATTCTCGTCCATTCATAATGTTTAGAGCTGGCAAGTGCATCAAATTATTGTGAGAGAGATCTAAAGTTGTCAATTGAGCAAGCCGGATAAGCGAGTTGTTTTCCATTTCTAGTAAAGCAATGTTCGAAAAATTTAGACAGAAGATGGGAGTCATCATAAGGAATTGACCCTTTATCCGTTGAATTTTCCCATCTGTTATTGCTAAGGACTTAAGCATCCTCCAGCGTACTTCAGTAGCATTAATGTAATCTAATGTGGCATTCCTAATGTGTACATACGAAACGTTTATCGGAAAATCTACATGAATGTAAAAGTAGCATTAGCTTATATGTATGAAAAATGGTATAATAATGATAGCAAAATCGATGCTTACTTGCTCGAGCTAACGCTTGCTCAAGTTCGGCATTATTCGCTAAATTACAACACAAGATAGCCACATTATCATTACTGCCATTTAATAGGCTGATTTTTTTGCAGGGATTTGAGTTTTCCTGGGGGCACTCCGAGGCTAAACCATAAAAACACTTGTCTGAGGTAATGAGATTATTATTCATCAGCTCGGTGTTTATTACCATGAAGTGATCTTCTTCTACCCGGGCCCTTACTGCGCATAGACATATGAGTATTGCTAGCCATTGAATCTGTGAATTAAAACATAAGCATCAATAAAAATGAATGCATTAGTAAAAATTATGTTTTATCATTAAGTTTATAAGTTATGAAAAAATCAGATAGAGTAGTGTAGTATTCGATCAATTTGTTGATATTTTATAATATAATTTATGATGCAAAAAATACTAAATAGAAACATCCTGAACATTTTGAAAACGTAACAAACTCTTATCTTCACTTCGAACATTCTATATCCACAGTTACTTAATGTCTATCTATAGTAGACTTATGGCTCTGTATATGTGTGTGATCATATGACAGTGAGCATAACCAATAGCTTTTTGAATGGACATAGTACATCAATGCAAGTTTAATGCAGGTTAACTTATAAAGCAGTCTCTGTCGTAGTATCAGAGTTGTATTGACAAGTATAGATCAGTATGAAAATAAGATAAGAATTAATTGTCAAGTAGGGAATATGAAAAATAATTCAATAAGAGGGTCATTATGACCCCTGGCCCTTTCTCGCCTCTCGTTATAAAACTTTACTAAAAGAATGAATATTTTATGCATATATTTGTGATAGTGATCCTTGTTTTTTTTCTTTAATTTTTATTTTTTTTTATTTTAAAAGTAGGGCACAGTTGCAATGCTATATACGAATTTGCAAGTGTATAAATTAGTTGAGTTTTTTTTTAATCTTAAAAAACACATATGCCATTTACAATTAACTACAATAGTGAATCTTAACCGTCATAAATTTCTTTTCATAATATATTTTTTATTTACAACTGATCTCCTGAGCCATTGTCTATAAATATATTGTCAGTGTATTTACAGCTTGACAGTAAAACTCACACATTTATTTAACCGTGAGAAAATAATAGTCGTTGTCAATAGTTATCATACTTACTTGGAGTATAATAGATTATTTATTTATGAATTAAAAATGCAAGCAGTACAGTCTATTGGGTCATTAGGTATTATGTACTTTGGCTAAAGATTAATTAGTAATGAATTAAAACGGCAGGCTCTTGAGTCTGTTGAGTTTCTGGTGACGAGCTGCATATTAATTAAAAATCAACACACAAGTTATTGACTTGTTATCCGCTAGGTTATTAGGTTATAGCAGCTTGGGATTGATCACTGACATGCTGTTTCCTCGGTCATTAGGTTATAGTAGATTGGGGTTAATCATTCACTTACTGTCCCTTGGGTCATTAGGTTATAGTAGCTTAGGGTTAACTTATTTTATTTTTCAGATTTTAATTCTGCACTCTTGTATTATTCACAGCGTTACTTTAAGATCCACCTTTATGCTCTTCCAAAATTTTAATTGAAGGAACTCTGTTGTGACAGATGACCTACGGCCAATAAAAGAGAGAATAAAGGAATGCTGTCTCTTTGTGGTTAATTAGGGCATTAAAGGATAGTTCATAGTCGTGAGTAGTTCATAGTTCATAGTTTATAGTTCATGGTTTCTATTGATCAATGACTATGCAAATCTTTAATAAATATATGTCATTTTATTTTGTCATAAAAATATATGCAACAAATTTTAATTTCACATAGTTGTACAATAATATTAACAAAAAATTAATCATCGGACCAAAAACTTAGTAAGTACTACAAAAATAAAAAGTTTTGTTAAAATAACAAAAAAACCTAGTTATAGTAAATAATAAGAAATACATAAACTATTTATAATGACTATTTATTTTTTATATTTTATTAGTATGTATAAACTATTCATTTACTTTTTAAGCGGTGTGGGAGAAAAATATGAAAAAAGTTTTCAACTATTACTTTTATTATGTTTTATTAGTATTCTAAGTATATTTCTTGTAAATTATNATACACTTTGCCAGTAACATATATACATACTGAGCGCACGGTGGCTCAGTCGGCTAGGTCATGGATTGGCACGCGGGAGACCGTGGTTCGATTCCCGGCCAGTGAGACTATTTCGGGCAAGTACCTCTGTGATTGTTCACATGTTCTTTTTCACCACGCAATGCTCCTCGAAGAGGGTTAAGGCGACCTCCTCGCAGCAAAAATTGCCTAATTTCCCCCTATCCCCTCCCAGTAATGGGAGGCCTCCCATCCCTCTTCCCTTCCTTCTCCCAAGTGCTAAGTGCCCTCAGTAGTGCCCTTCATAGGAGCTGGACGTAAAGCACTATAATATAATATATATATGTATATATATATATATATATTCATGGTTAAGCAGACATATGATGATTAGTTCAACTTGCTTGAATTTATAAAAATTGTAACGACTATTATGCTAGAATGCCAGCTTTGATTAATGTAGGATGAAAAATTACTTAATAATAACTAAACTAACGGCATGTTTAATGTACCGTCATATAATCCTTTTTTTTTTTAGATGTTTAAAAATACATACAAAGTACGTGGATTTGATGCCACTAGCTTTTTCCCTCCAGATCTCACTTAATCGATACTATAAGCACTGGCGCATATTATTTCATTTCCTCAAGGTTCATGCTCAGAACTAATAGATTAATAAATAAAATATCTTTCGAACTATTGCAGTATCTAAAGCTATTCGTTTCTTCATGATAACCATGACTGTGTGTTGCTCGTCTAATTATAAAAAAAGCAAACAAAATTGTCTGATGAGAAACAAAAGTATAGGGTTGTGTTAAGGGTAACAAGTATTGAAAGAAAAAAAATGGAATTTTCTCTCAAGAAAGTCAAAAAATAATAACATGAATTTAGAAAAATTCTTAAACAAAAAAAAAACAAAAAGAATAATGAACTTTTTCACACGCCGTGCGCGGGGACCTCGATTATGAGCCATCTGTTATAACTCTGAAGACCTCGATTTACACAAGCGACTCACAACTCGTGCTACGCACTCGTGCGAGTGCGTGTGTACGTTGAGATCTTTGCAGAGCCATATTAGATGGCTCATAATCTCGTTTCCCGCGCACAATATGTAGAAAATTTGTAAAATTTGTGATTGACACACGCGGGTTTTCGCACACGAGCGCTAGCGAGTGGTACGCGTGCGTCAATCGCCTTCCTCGCGCACTAGTATCGTAATGTACTATTTCATGTGGAAAATTTCATCTCCTATATTTTCTTACTAGTACCACTGGTTTGATCTGTCTATTAAATAAAATATTACAGTAAAGTGAAGCTTTATTCATGTGTGCATTAAATTTACTTACCAGAAATATCGATCCAAAATTCTCGTCCATTCATAATGTTTAGAGCTGGCAAGTGCATCAAATTATTGTGAGAGAGATCTAAAGTTGTCAATTGAGCAAGCCGGATAAGCGAGTTGTTTTCCATTTCTAGTAAAGCAATGTTCGAAAAATTTAGACAGAAGATGGGAGTCATCATAAGGAATTGACCCTTTATCCGTTGAATTTTCCCATCTGTTATTGCTAAGGACTTAAGCATCCTCCAGCGTACTTCAGTAGCATTAATGTAATCTAATGTGGCATTCCTAATGTGTACATACGAAACGTTTATCGGAAAATCTACATGAATGTAAAAGTAGCATTAGCTTATATGTATGAAAAATGGTATAATAATGATAGCAAAATCGATGCTTACTTGCTCGAGCTAACGCTTGCTCAAGTTCGGCATTATTCGCTAAATTACAACACAAGATAGCCACATTATCATTACTGCCATTTAATAGGCTGATTTTTTTGCAGGGATTTGAGTTTTCCTGGGGGCACTCCGAGGCTAAACCATAAAAACACTTGTCTGAGGTAATGAGATTATTATTCATCAGCTCGGTGTTTATTACCATGAAGTGATCTTCTTCTACCCGGGCCCTTACTGCGCATAGACATATGAGTATTGCTAGCCATTGAATCTGTGAATTAAAACATAAGCATCAATAAAAATGAATGCATTAGTAAAAATTATGTTTTATCATTAAGTTTATAAGTTATGAAAAAATCAGATAGAGTAGTGTAGTATTCGATCAATTTGTTGATATTTTATAATATAATTTATGATGCAAAAAATACTAAATAGAAACATCCTGAACATTTTGAAAACGTAACAAACTCTTATCTTCACTTCGAACATTCTATATCCACAGTTACTTAATGTCTATCTATAGTAGACTTATGGCTCTGTATATGTGTGTGATCATATGACAGTGAGCATAACCAATAGCTTTTTGAATGGACATAGTACATCAATGCAAGTTTAATGCAGGTTAACTTATAAAGCAGTCTCTGTCGTAGTATCAGAGTTGTATTGACAAGTATAGATCAGTATGAAAATAAGATAAGAATTAATTGTCAAGTAGGGAATATGAAAAATAATTCAATAAGAGGGTCATTATGACCCCTGGCCCTTTCTCGCCTCTCGTTATAAAACTTTACTAAAAGAATGAATATTTTATGCATATATTTGTGATAGTGATCCTTGTTTTTTTTCTTTAATTTTTATTTTTTTTTATTTTAAAAGTAGGGCACAGTTGCAATGCTATATACGAATTTGCAAGTGTATAAATTAGTTGAGTTTTTTTTTAATCTTAAAAAACACATATGCCATTTACAATTAACTACAATAGTGAATCTTAACCGTCATAAATTTCTTTTCATAATATATTTTTTATTTACAACTGATCTCCTGAGCCATTGTCTATAAATATATTGTCAGTGTATTTACAGCTTGACAGTAAAACTCACACATTTATTTAACCGTGAGAAAATAATAGTCGTTCAAAATAACATCCTAAGTTATCAAAACTTTGACCTTGTGATTTATTAAGTATCACCAAAAATTGCTAGTCTTATAAAAAATAATTTGCTATGCAACGTACATTGTATAAAGATAAACTTTCTATAGCATTTGAAGTTATTTTTGACGTATAGACTTTGCATTCTTATTTTTTTTCTGGTTATTAATTCTGCTTCTATATTGTATTTAAATAGTTTTGCTTTATGTAATCTAGAACCGTTGCATAAAATTTTTTTGTGATTAAGTAATGAAGAGAAAATCATAACTAGTAGTAATATTTTGTAAAGTGCAGATTTAAGATTATTGTAAGGTTTAATGAGTGTTACTGTTCGTAACTATTTCTTCTTATTTTTTTTTTCGACATAAATGTCATTATGAAAACATCGAAAAAAGTAGTAACTAAAAAAGAACTTACATGGTTAATTATCACTATCTCATCTAATGTTCTGGACAAAAATCACATGATTAAAAAAAAATGTTTGACAGATCTCACAACTTTATTACCAGAGCGTCAAAGTCTTCGAGCTTAGTCTCTTCATTTTTTTAACCCCACAATGGGTACAAATACATATTTTCTATATAGTTAAAAATCTGGATGATTTAAGTGATTACTGCAAGAATTATAATAGAAAGCTGATCTCTCACTTAATGAATTTTTATACATCAATTTTGATGCTGCTGTTTCAGTAATTCGCCCTCTTGTGACTATAGGCATGGTTAAAGCTTTTGTGAACCCTAGAGATTGTTTTTTGTCAACTTTGTTAAGTTGTAATACAATATTTGTTGGCAAGGTAGTTTGACATCCGATAGACCTAAAAAGAATCGGGGAACTAAATTTATTTTGACTGAAGTTTCCAGCAAACGTGATTGCCTACATACCTCAGGGAGATCTTTGCTGGACTGCTGTTGTAGAACTAGACTGATTGGGAGGAAAACTTCGTCTGAAGCGTTAGAGATAATTATAGAGCTCTTTCCCAACGTATCCTGAGGTTATGCGAGAGATGTTGATGTCTAAAGCACCTTCTTTTTTTGCTGAGTTCAGTCGTTTTGGTAATCTAAGGTGGGGGGATTGGTTCGTAATACTTGCTCGTTAGAGACTGTCCCGTTTGCTCAAGTTTATTTTTCCTTCATTGCTGTTAGATTTGCCTAGCACAGACCTTGGAGAGAATCAGTGATTCCTGATTAAATGCTAAGAGTTTAGAGGGTAATGTAGGGTCACCGGTCGTCGGGGTTCCCAGCCTTGTGACGAACAACTCCACTCGTGACGTCTGCCAGTGAATAACTGACTTGCTTTAATAGTGGCCTGCTTTATATTTACTTTTAGTAAACGAATTGTTACCGGAAACGGTACTAATAATGTATTTGTTGGCAAGGTAATTTTAGGTGACCCTTAAAAGAATTGATGAGATTAATGGTTCAGTAGGAACGTAAATACTTATAATGGCCCTAAAAAGAACCAGTGGTGAAACTTCAAGATATTCCTTATTATTATTTTTGATGATGGAGAGCTGGCTGCGGGTAGCTTGACTCTTAACCTTGTAGTCTCTGCGTACGGGGACCGTGCAGTAGGGAGGTACGGCACTAGGCAAAACATATCTCATCTTCTAATCGATCCTCGGATAACTAACTGGTAATCGCTAATCGGAAAAGTGGGCCTAGAGAATACTGCCTCTGTGGGTATACCATTAGTACAAATCCCTGAGGAAGAGGCCGTTGTAGCTGCCTGAACTCCTCAGGGTTTTCCCCGGCTTGATGTTGTAATAAAATCTGCTCTGTTAGCACCAGGTCGGTTGGCATAATTGCTAGAGCAGATTGTGCTCTATTTAGACGTCTCCTGGTATTACGGTGGGACGTTGGCTCATAGAACGCCTTTGTATTTGTGGCTCTCACAAAATATGGTGTTTTGCAATAGAATTCGACGTATGTCGCTTGTCCATTAGAGAGTAGTGTCGCATCCCGAACAGAAATCTTATTGAGGCGAACGAGAGGCCCTCTAGAGGATACCTAAATAGCCTATGAAGGACCTACTGAGGCCAAGTAACGCGGCGTACAGTTGGTCCTCTTTAGATATCCTAAAAAACTGTGTACCTAACCAAACTTGAAGAGTCTCTAGAGTTAAAATATATTTNATCATATGACAGTGAGCATAACCAATAGCTTTTTGAATGGACATAGTACATCAATGCAAGTTTAATGCAGGTTAACTTATAAAGCAGTCTCTGTCGTAGTATCAGAGTTGTATTGACAAGTATAGATCAGTATGAAAATAAGATAAGAATTAATTGTCAAGTAGGGAATATGAAAAATAATTCAATAAGAGGGTCATTATGACCCCTGGCCCTTTCTCGCCTCTCGTTATAAAACTTTACTAAAAGAATGAATATTTTATGCATATATTTGTGATAGTGATCCTTGTTTTTTTTCTTTAATTTTTATTTTTTTTTATTTTAAAAGTAGGGCACAGTTGCAATGCTATATACGAATTTGCAAGTGTATAAACTCTGTTGTGACAGATGACCTACGGCCAATAAAAGAGAGAATAAAGGAATGCTGTCTCTTTGTGGTTAATTAAAGTTTGTGAGAAGAACTGATAAACAATCTTTTTTTTTACCTAAAAAATGTATGTAAACAAAATTTTTACATAACATAGTTTTGTATACTTCTATTTGAACATTATAATAATTAGTATTTGACTTTTCACTTGCAGCTCCAGGGATTTCTCTTACAAACAGTTCTTTTAAACAACGAGTCTGATTGTCTCGAATTTACTCTAAAGTGCTACTAACATGAAAACTTTCAACAAGTTTACGATCTTTTGAGAGGCTTTTTTTGCAGAAAACGTTGGTTTCTACTTTTTGAATACCTGATTTTATGATAACAACCATATTTTTACCTCTAAAATTCATTTTTTATTTTAAATTTACAAATAAAAAACATTCATTTCTATTGGCTTTGCTATGATGCAGACGTTTCAACACCACCGCTATTCAAATGAAAAATCCAGGAGATCACGTTACTGATTCGTGCCAAAGATCGTCCAAACGTAAATTTTTTTCATTAAAATTAAATTTATGTATATATTTTTATAAACATAAGATTTTAAAATAGTTTATTTATTATTTTTAGC